ATTAACAAATATGTATAGTATAGTCTTTCATACATTGGACTATCTTTTCATTTTGTTGATGGTTTCTTTTTCTGTGCAAAAGCTTTTTATTTTGATGTAGTCCCATGTACTTATTTTCTCCTTAGTTTCCATTGTCTTAGGAGCTGTATTGGTAAACATATTGCTATGGGAGATGTCTGAAGTATTTGCTGCCTATGGTTTCTTCTAGGACTTTTATGGTTTCACAACTTATATGTAAGTATTTTTTCCATTTTGAGTTTATTATTTTATATGGTGAAGGTTGGTGGTATAGTTTCATTTTTATGCATGTATCTGTCCAATTTTCCCAACACCATTTATTGAAGAGACTCTCTTGACTCCACTGCATGCTCTTGCCTCCTTTGTCAAATATTATTTGAGGGTAATAACCTAGATTGACTTCTGAATTCTCTGTTCTGATCTATATCCTTCTTCTTGTGCCAGTCCCAGGCTGTTTTGATTATGGTGGCTGTGTAATATAACTTGAAATCTGGTATTGTGATTCCTCAAACTTTGTTTTTCTTTATCAAAATTGCCACAGCTATTCAGTGTCTTTTTTTGATTCCATATAATTTTTTAGAATATTTGTTCTAGGTCTGTGAAATATGCCTTTGGTATTTTAATAGGAATTTCATTGAATCTGTAGATTTTCTTGGGTAGTATGGACATTTTAATGACGTTGATTTTACCAATCCATGAACATGGTATATTCTTCCAGTTGTTTATATCTTCTCTTTTCCTGGAAACAAATGAAAATGAACACAAAACAACCCAAAATCTCTGGAACACAGTAAAAGCAGTCCTGAGAGGGATGTTCATAGCACTACAGGCTCAAAAAAACAAGAAAAATCAGCAATAAACTATTTAACCCTACAATTTAAAGAAACAGAAAGAGAATAACAAGAAAATCCCTGAGTAATTAGAAGAAAGAAAATAATAAATGTTAGAGAAGAAATAAATAGCATAGTAACTAAAACAAACAAACAAAAATATCAATGAAACCAAGAGCTGGTTCTTTGAAAAAAAATAAATAAAATTGATGAACCATTAGCCAGACTCATCAGGAAACAAAGAGTGACCCAAATAAAAAAAATCAGAAATGAAAGTGGAGAAGGAACCACTGACAACACACATAATTACAAAGGATTGTAAGAAAATACTATGAACAACTATATGCCGATAAGCTGGACAATGTGGATGAAATAGGCAAATTCCTAGAAAAATATAATCTCCCAAAACTGAATCAGGAGAAATCAGAAAACCTGAATAGGCCAATAACAACTGATGAAATAGGAGCAGTAATAAAAAACAAACAAACAAACAAACAAAAAAATACTCCTACCAAACAAAATCCCAGGTCCTATGGCTCCACAGAGGAGTTTTACCAAACATTAAAAGAAGAACTAACACATATACTCCTCAAAACTATTTCAACAAACTCAAGAGAAAGAAACACTTCTGAACTCTTTTTATGAGGCCAGCATTATCCTAATTCCAAAACCAGATAAAGACATTACAAATAAAGAGAATTACAGACCAATATCTCTGATTAATATAGATGCTAAAATACTCACAAAATTTTAGCAAGTCAGATCCAGCAATACATTAGAAAAATTATACACCATGACCAAGTGGGATTTATTCCAGGGATGCAAGGCTGCGATATTTGTAAATCAATAAATGTGATACATCACATAAACAAGTTAAAAGATAAAAATCACATGATCATATCAATAGATGCAGAAAAAGCATTCAACAAAATCCAAGAACTATTTTTGATAAAAACTCTCACTAAAATGGTAATAGAAGGAGCATATCTCAACATGATAAAGGCCACATGTGACAAACCTGCAGACAACATCATACTCAATGGGTAAAAACTAAGAGCATTTCCCCTAAGAATAGGAACAAGACATTGATGTCCACTTTCACCACTCCCATTCAACATAGTACTGGAAGTCCTAGCCACAGCAATCAGACAAGAAGAAACAAAAAGCGTTCAAATTGGAAACGAGGAAATAAAAAAAAATCTCATTAATTGCAGATGATATGATATTGTACATAAAAAACCCTAAAGACTCCACCAAAAACCTACTAGATTTAATAAATGAATTTGGCAATGTAGCAGGGTACAAAATCAACACCCCCAAATCTATGGCTTTTTTATACACCAATTAAAGGCCCAGTTCACGAATTCATGCACCAGTGGGGTCCCTCGGCCTGGCCTGTAGGGATTGGGCTGAAACCAGCTCTCTGACATTCCCTGAGGGTTCCCAGATTGCAAGAGTGTAGTTCTTGGGTGACACACCCCAGAATCGGGCTCCCCATTCTCTGATGCTGTGTGCTTCACCTTAGAACCGCAACTTCCAAATCACTGCAGCTCAACAGCTCCTTCATTGACCGTCTGCCCCTGGTGGTCACTGCGTGTCATAACTACTGGTCGGAGTTTCTGCCCCGTTGTGGTTATTGAACGTCACAGTTATTGGTCAGATGGTTAGACTGTCGCTTAATATATATATATATATATATATATATATATATATATATATATAATTTAGATATTTAATATAAATTATATATTATATTAAATATTTATATATTTAATATATAATAAATTCTCAGAGAAACTAAACAAACAATCCCATTTACGATTGCAACAAAAAATTAAGATACTTAGGATTAAACTTAACCAAGAAGGCAAAAGGACTGTACTCAGAAAACTATCTATACTAATAAAAGGGTAATATGCTAATTAGACTCGGTCAACTGGACATCTTCTGGATGTCTGACTTCCTTCCAGAGAAAGCCATGGTGGTGGGGGCCAAGACAGAGGTGGTTAGGGCGATCAGGCTGACAGGGGGGCCTTTAGGGGGTGATCAGGCCAGCAAGCAGAGGTATTTAGGGGGTGACCAGGCTGGCAGGGGGGCAGTTAGAGGGTGACCAGGCCAGCAGGGGGGCAGTTGGGGTCAATCAGGCTAGCAAGCAGAGGCAGTTAGGGATGATCAGGCAGGCAGGCAAGCAGTTAGGAGCCAGCAGTCCTAGATTGCGAGAGGGATGTCTGACTGCCGGTTTAAGCCCCATCCTTCAGGGATCAGGCCTAAAGCAGCAGTTGGACATCCTTTGAGGGGTCCCAGATTGGGGAGGGTGCAGGTGGGGCTGAGGGACCCCCTCACCCATGCACAAATTTCGTGCACCGGGCCTCCAGTACATGTATATTTAAAAAACACCTTTCAGTGTACTTTACAGGAAAGGAAGACAGCAATACAGTGATAGTGGAGGACTTTAACATCCCACTATCATTACTGGATAGATACCCCAGACAAAAATTAACAAGGAGATAGCAACCATAAATGGCATACTGGATCAGATGGATTTAATTTATATTTACAAAACATTTCATCCCAAAGTAGCAGAATATACATTATTCTCAAGTGCACATGGAACATTCTCAAAGATACACCACATGTTAGGACACAAAATAATTCTTAAGAAACTGAAGAAGATGGAAATCATACTAAGCATCATCTTGGATCACAATAACATGAAACTAGAAATCAACTAAAATAAAAATAAAACTCAAAGACATTCCAATTTATGGAGGTTAAATAGTGTGACATTAAACAATGAATGAACTATCAGAAGAAAAAGAAGAAAAGCCCAGAGTAAGTAGAAGGAGGAAAACAATAAAAATCAGAGCAAAAAATAATCTAAAAAGTAGAATCTAAAAAACAACTAATGTTTTTAGAATGTTTACATAGAATCTAAAAACTAATGTTTACATAGAATCTAAAAAAACAAAACAAAACAAAAAAACAAAAACACACAATAAATAAAAAGATCAATAAAACCAAGAGTTGGTTCTTTGAAAAGATAAATAAGATTGATAAACTTTTTTAAATTTTATTTTATTGTTTAAAGTATTACAAGTAGTAGTACATATGTCTCCTTTTTTCCCCCTATTGACCTTCCCCTGGCCTCCCCTACACAGCCCCCCCCCCCACATGCTCTTACCCCACCCCCCACCCCCCGGCCCAGTGTCTTGCCTCCATTGGTTATGCTTATATAACACCCTCCCAGTGTTCCCGCTGTGACAGTCTGTTTAATGCTGCTCTGCCTCTGTATCTATTTTTGTTCATCAGTTTATAATGTTCTTTATTATCCATAAATGAGTGAGATCATGAGGTATCTTTCTGTCACTGACTGGCTTATTTCACTTAGCATAATGCTCTCCAGTTCCATCCATGCTGTTGCAAATGGTAAGAATTCCTTCTTTTTTACAGCAGCATAGTATTCCATTGTGAACTTTTAGCCAGACTTACCAAAAGACAAAGAGAGCAGACACAAATAAATAAAATCAGAAATGAAGAGGAGCAGTAACAACTGACATCACAGAAATAGAGAATTGTAAGAAAATTCTATGAACAATTATATGTCAACAAATTGGATAACCTGGACAAAATGAACAAATTCTTAGAAACAAACAATCTTCCAAAATTGAATCAAGAAGAATCAGAAAACCTGAAAGAGTGATTACAACTAATGAAACTGAAGCAGTAATAAAAACAAAAACTAATCTGCAGCAAACAAAAGTCCTGACCCCAACAGCTGCTTCCAGGTGAATTTTACCAAACATTCAAAGAACTATTGGTAATACCTATCCTCAAACTATTCCATTAAATTCAAGAGGTGGGAAGACTTCAAACTATTTTTATAAGGCCGGCATTATCTAATTCTAAAACCGGTTAAAGACAATGCAAAAAGAGAAAATTATAGGTCCACATTCCTGGTGGTAGATATTAAAATCCTCAAGAAAAAATTAGCAAAACAGATCCAGCAATACAATAAAAAGGTATACCATGTCCAAGTGGGTTTTATTTTGGGAATGCAAAACTGATGCAATATCCCCAAATCAATAAATGTGATTCATCATACAAGCAAAATGAAAGATAAAAATTTCATGATCATATCAATAGATGCAGGAAGTGCTCGCTTCGGCAGCACATATACTAAAATTGGAACGATACAGAGATTAGCGTGGCCCCTGTGCAAGGATGACATGCAAATTCATGAAGCGTTCCATATTTAAAAAAAAAAATAGATGCAGGAAAATAATTTGATAAAATTCAACAGCCATATGTGATAAAAAACTGTCAGCAAGATGAGATAAGAGAGAACATAGCTAAACATAATAAAGGTCATATACTTAATATGAAAAACCCACAGCCAATATCATACTCAATAGGTAAAAAATAAAACGGTCCCCTTAAGATCAGGAACAAGACGTGGATGTCCACTTTCACCACTCTTACTCAACCTAGTGCTGGAACTCCTAGCCACGGTAATCAATTAAAAGAAATAAAAGACATGCAAATTGGAAAGGAGGAAGTAAAACTGTCATTACTCACGAATGACATGATCTTGTACATAGAAAATCTTAAAGACCCCCCCCCAAAAAAAAAAACCACAAATACTAAAACTAAAAAACGAATTTGGAAAAGTAGCAGGATACAAAATTAATATCCAGAAATTGGTGGCATTTTCATAGACCAGTAACAAATTCTCTCAAATAAAACAAATAAAATAATCCTCTTTACTATTACAAAAGAAAAATAGAGCACCTAGGAATAACTTAACCAAGGAGGCAAAAGACCTGTACTCTCAGAGCCATAGGACACCAAACAAATAAACAGAGGAAGGTGCGACCAAGTGGAAGCGCACGTCATGGTCATGGACTGGAAGAATTAACGCCATTAGAATGCCCGTGCCGCCCAGAGCAATCTACAGATTCAGCACCATTTCTATTAACATGCCAATGACATATTCCAAATATCTAGAGCAAATGTTCCAAAAGTTTATATGGAACCAAAAAGATCCCGAGTAGCCTCAGCAATTTCAATAAAGAAAAACTAAGTTGGAGGGATTACAATACCAGATATGAAACTATACTTCAAAGCCATGTAATTAAAATAGCCTCGTACTGGCACAATAACATAGATCATAGATAAACTAAAGAAGACCTTAAAAATGAGAGATATACTATGTTTATGAATTGGAAAAGTTATTATTATGAGACAGTGTTATATTGTTACAAATATAGACTGATAGATCAATGGAAAAGAGAATCAAGAAATAGACCCAACTATATATATGACATGGCCAATTGAATTTTGCTAGAGTGCAAAGACAGTTAAGTGAAGAAATTATTATATTTTTAACAAATTGTGAAGGAACAATGGGATAGCATATACAAAGAAATAAATTTTTATTTATTCTTCACAGCATACACAAATATTACTTGGAGATGTATCATAAACTTAAATATAAACTAATACCATATCACATCTAGAAGAAAATAGGATAAAAATTTTTAGCTTGCACTATGCAAAAATTTATCACATATAAAACTAAAAGCAACCCATGATATAATTAATAAATTGAAATTTATAAAATATTCATAAGCATTTTCTAGAATTTTATTTGCTCCACATCTGTCCTAAGGATGAAGTATACACTGGGATTTATGGGTCAAGGTGCTTGCTTTTAATTATTTAAAGAAAAATAAACCTGAAAATTAAGTGCCCTGTAATTATTAAATAATTACCATTTAATCGCTAAATTAAACAATAGACATTTTTTAGACATGTTGCAGAAAAAGATATTTCAACAACCTAAGAGAATGTCCACTATATGATATTGAGTAAACTAACTGCAATATCCAATTCATTCTAATTCAATAAAAATTAAAATGAAAACTTTCTGAAGGAAATAAACTGCACCATTAATAACAAATATTAAGACATCATCTTATTCCCTCCGAAGACTGAAGAATTTGAGCTGGGACTATGGTCACTTAACTAGAGACTATTTTTTCAGTAAACTTTGCAGGAAGGTTTTGCTCTATGACCAACTTCAGGCCAGTGATTCATGAATGAAGTGATATTTGAACACTGCCTTAAAAGGCATCCGCCTATCCTTTCTTTTTTTTTTTCTCTCCTGCTGTTCACCGGAAATTACAAAATAGCCATGGGGGTGTAAATTATAGCAAAGGGAACATAGTCAGTGATAGTGCAATAACTATGCATGGTGCCAGGTGGGAACTAGGAATAGGGAGGACACTTTGCGAAATATATGATTGTCTTGCCACTATACTGTACACCTGACACTAATACAAAATATTATTGAATATAAACTGTAATTGAAAAAAAAAATTTAAAGATTTTTAGAAACCATTCTGGCAATAGGCAGTATAGCAACTGGGAAAGAACATGAGATCGTATGAGGGCACAACATGATCGAAAGGTCTCTGGTGACTGGACATGGCCAGAATAGCCACAGGCTGCCCCAGAGCTTTATGCAAGACAAAGAACAAACTTGCAACTTTTAAACTGCCGGGGTCCAACCCCAGTGGGTCCAGGGGTTCCCAAAGGTGTGGATGGAGTCGGCGAAGAAGGAAGGACACGGAGACAGCGTTCAGTTGATCAGCAGCCTAGCCAGGATCTCTAGCCAGGATCTCCAGCCAAGTTCTGGTCTGGATCTCCAGCGAAGTTCTGCTGTTTATTGTCTTGTTACATCCGTATTTATACCAGTTGATTTTAATCCTGTCAATTTCTATTACAAAGGTTAGGGCGTTTCTTATCTCCATTCCAGGGAGTAAAGATTATGTAGCTTAAGCATGATTGTTTGTAGTGATTAACTACCCGCCTGGCACTTAGTTAAGGAGTTTCATCCCCTCCCTGACTTCAGGGGAAAATTCCTACCTGGGGAAACAACCTTTCTAGGAGAGGCATCCCCTCCCTGACTTCAGGGAAAAATTCCTACCTGGGGAAACAACCTTTCTTGGAGAGGTGACCTTGGTTAAAACACACAGCGCTAAGGGGAGCAAACATATTAAGAACAGTATGCTATATACGCCAGGTCCCTTGAAACATATGCTGTGCAGATGTTTCTTTCCTGCAGCGACTGTGTCAAGCAGCAAGGATGGACTGGCTCCCGGCAAATTCCCCCTTTTTTATTTTTTAAATGATCACGCATGCAAATCAGTGGCCACCTCTCAGATTGGGCCATTTAAGTCTCGGAAGAAGAGTGGCAAGCAATGATAGTGAGCATAGCTATAAACGTAGTGGATGGAGCGCAGAAGGAGCCCCATTCCTGTAGAAGGTTGCCAGCCTCTTCAGTCAAGGGATTTCAGCTGTCCTCAAGTTGTTGGTTTGCTTGTCTTTGTTGGTCTGGCTAGCAGGCGGCGTCACTGGCGACAGGCTTCCCGAAGCGTCAGCAAGTTGAAGGGCTGCATCAAAGGGTCCATCAGGGCCGTGGTTGATGGTGGTGTCGATGTCTGAAGAGGAGTAAGCTGTGCCCTCTGGATCCAGCTGATATGGAAAATGGAGGGTTGTAGAAAAAGAAGAGAAAGCAAAAGAACTACAAGGCATGGAAGTGTTTAGAAAAAAGAGGGAGAAGAAAGGGAAGAATGCAGCATCCTGACACAGCCCTTTCCTTCAGCTGCCCCTTTCCCTGTGGTCCAAGGTAGAAATGGGAAACAAATCCTGTTGCAGTGAGAGGGCAGCTGCTGTCAGCCAGTCTCTGTCTTTACCTGGGTCCCGATCTGAGCTGGGCATGGGAAGCAGGAAGCAGCCATGGGGACAGGAGACCTTCCTCAGAAGGGCCGAGTGTTCAAGCCCCTGCACCATTGGGGAGGGGGGTCTGTGCCCCACCTTTGTTGCACCCCAAGTTTTCTCCTACTGGCCCCCGACTGTGCCTGTCTTAGGTTGCCCCACCCTGTGGAGTCTTACCCGTCGTTGACTACCAGCCATCTCTGGGCCAAGTAGGGTGATGTGAGGTTCAGTTTTGTCTCCTTGATAGCCTATGTCCCTCTGGCCTCCATGCCCAGCAACTGCCTTGGGATCCCCTTGCCTGCTGGCAGGGCTCTGGCATTGATCATAGGGAACTCAGGTTTCTTCTCTAGAGAGGGCCCAGCTTACACCACTGGGCCAGAGACAGATCCATGGTACCAGCCACCATGCGGCTTCAACCTCAGCATGAACAGAGAGCTCAGGCAACAGCTATGGGCAATTGGATTGTAAGAAGAGGGTCCCTCTTGACACAAGGGTAAGAGGGGCCAATACAGGACAAAGGAGAGTCCTGGAACAGGGCTTTCTCAGCCCAGGATGTCAGGCTCTTGTCCCAAGACAACTCCATGTATGGGGCATATACCAAACACCCCTAGTCACGGCATAAAAGGGAGATGCCCTTCCTGGAACAGTAGGGTAGGGAGATTCTAGAAAAGGCTGTGTTCAGGAAAGAAGGAGAAAGGCCAAAGAACCAGCAAACAAGTAGTTAGATTTTAAAAAAAGGAAAAAGGAAAGGAGATGTGGGGCAAAGCTGGGACATGTGGAAAGACAAAACGGAGGCACATGTGATCCTCCCAATGGACAGATTGTTCCAGCTCAGGTCTGCACATCTGCTGCAGACGGGCACTGGTCAGGTGTGCTATGATGAGGCAGAGATGGCGGGCGGTGAGACATAAGGTCGGGCTAGACGGTCTGGAATCCACACAGGTGAGTCTGCGTCCTCTGGAAATATACAAGCATATCCTCTCCCCCAGGTTAAAAGTACATCAGGTCCCTTCCAGGCTCCTGTAAGCAAGTCTCTCCATTTGACGAGGGCTTTAGGTTTAGTTAGATCAGGGTTCCAATGCCTGTACATCAGGGAATTTCCCTCAGAATCTACATTTAGTATATTAATTACAAATTGAGCATGTTGTAGAACATGATGAGGAGAGGAATATTTAAACTCATTTTCTTGTAATTTTTTAATTTGTGTTTTTAAAGTTTGGTGAGCCCTTTCTACTATTGCTTGGCCTTGAGGATTGTAGGGTATTCCTGTAGTATGTGCGATGCCGAATGTAGAGCATAAGTTTTTAAAAGCTCTAGAGGTATAGGCAGGCCCATTGTCAGTTTTAAGTGCCCTTGGTATTCCTAGGTAGGAAAAGCATTGGAATAGATGTTGACTTACATCTTTAAAGGCTTCTCCTGTACGTGCAGAAGCAAGGATAACATGAGAAAAGGTATCAATACAAACATGCACATAGCA